GGGCGGCGCCAGCGACCGGCAGCAGGGGCAGCAACGTCAACAGCAGGACGGCGACGCCGCCGCCGGCTGTCGCGACGGAGGCACGAGATCCGGGCGGCGCCCTCCGGAACCTCATGCCGAGGGATGGCGGCGGTGACGGCATCGCGACGGTGGTCATCCCAGCCAAAGACGACTCCCTCATCGTTATGCGCAGCGCCGGCAGCCGCTGGAAGTGGGGATCTTGAATGTGCAGATGAGGGTGATGTCTGAAAGCGCCATTGGGCCGCTGGCGGGGTCACGCGCTGCACGTCGATCTCCGGACGGGCGGATCGCTCTTCGCGGTGATGTCGTTGCTGCGTCACCGGCGACGTGAAGTTGCGATCATGGACGTTGCAAATGCCTTAAAGGAGAATGCTCTTGCGCGGCCAACCTCTGCCGCAAAGTAGGAAGGCGCTCCAAGGATGCGCCCAGTCCAATGAGCAGAGTCCAGTGGCACTTATCTACCATTCAGGGCTAGTAAAAACCTTTTGGCTCCACATGGCGTCTCGATTTGCTGCTTGCGCGTTCCGATTAGTTCGAAGTCATGTTGCCTCGGAGTTTGGTGGCTCACTTGATTGATATTTTGTTCATTTGGCTTGCTCCAGTGCAAGGGCGACCCAGTAAGATCCAACACTTAGCAATCCGCTCTGTCCTTCTCAATGCCCTTTGACAACATTCACATGTCCGGTTGGTGGCCCGCTTTTTCCGTTTGATACAGACAATGGTTGCTCGATGGCTACTTGACGGCTACTTGATGGCTACTGAATGGCTATTTGATGGCTTCTTGATGACTACTTGATGGCTACTTAATGTAGAGGTGCCACCTAACCCACCTGATCCACCTCGCTCACTATCTATTCCAGCTGGTCCACCTGCCCAGTCCTCTGCGTCTACCAGCCCACGCTGTCCGCCGGTACTGACAGCCGCCGACTGTCAGGCACCGCCTCGCCGCACCGGCGCATTGGACGTGGCGTCTGCCTTTTGTGGCCGTCAGCTGTTGTGGCGCGAGAACGTGCGCAGATGGCGCCAACGGGCACGCGACAACGACCAAAGAAATAGGTGTGCGGCGGGCTAGTCTTAAAAGGCGCCGGAACTATTACGGCGAATAGGGGAGGTAGTAAGTTGCTGGACGTTCAACAGCTGAGCTGCGATGTGTATCTCAGCATTGCACTGAGCTTTGTGTATCGAGGACTGCTGTCACCCAGACCATGACACACGTTTCTTAGCTGCATGCAACGTAGCGATAGTGGGGCTTTGTAAATCTGTGGAGAGGCCTTGCTCTCCCCCCACACCCCCATTCGTCTCGGCTTTTAGGTATGCAGAGTAGATTATGTGCATTCTACACGTTATTTCATGCCAAATTATGAAGGACATGCACAGTTTGCACAACCCAAAGCACCAATATCTCGCAAAAACAAATACTAAGGTTTAAAAATTGTCCACATTGTGCACACTTCTGCTTTTTGGCCGGTGCATAACGTTAGTAATTTGTACTCAGAAATGAAAGCATGAGAAGTAAATGTCTTCATTGAATCTCAAAACACACAGGCTCAGAATCTTGAAAAAGGCAATCGAAGTAATGTTTTTAGCATACGGTCATAGGCATACATAAGGTCTCTGCCATGATTGTAGGCCTTGAGCAATAAGAGCAAATGTGATCAACTGCATGCAAATGATAACAAATAAGGCATTGAAGATGAGCCAAAATGAACAGCATGTCTTCAACCTCAAACCATTTAAGGGCGTTTTCACTTGTTTCAACGGTAGTTATTGGCATGCAATTGGTCATCTTGCTTCCTATCACGAAGTAAAGTTTCCGGAAAGAGTATCTGTCCATGGGAAAATAAGATAGTGCGTATTTTCGTGGCGACTGGTGACGCTGCCCCATCGTTCATCTCACCAACGACAAATGCTTGAACACAAACCTTCCTCGGCACTGTCATCAAAGCCACAACACATTGAGAGCCACGCGACGTGACTAGAGACACTTCATGAGTCCGAGAGGCACTGAGCTGGCAGCAATCGATTTTCAATGCACCAGGATCTTCCGCCAGTTTTGTCACGTGGGGTGCGCATGGCAAACATATACAACCGTGGGCAGCAGGCGCGGCGGGGGCGGAGACAAAGAGACAAAAAAGAGGCAGGGGGCGCGGCGGGGGCGGAGACAAAGAGACAAAAAAGAGGCGGGGGCGTGGCAAGGCAGCCGACGGGCCTAAACAGGAGTATGCCATCATTATTTTTTGTGGACATCGGCTGACACAGGATCACAAGGTCACAGGACTAGCCAAATGTACCGGTAACATGTTCGTGCTCAACTCATTGATGAGCGGGATGAGACGACGAGGCCGCATTATTTATGGTCCGTTTGTCCACAACACGCTAATTGAAAAGACCATAGGCACGGTAAAATGTTTTACGAGGCCTGCAGGACGTGCCATGTTTTATTGCTGTGTTTGATTGTTGTTGTTTCTTGTCATTTGCGTTTGTGCGTTCGCTGTTGTGTCTAGTTCTTTTCGTTTGTCTTGCTCACTACGGGAACACTCCTCACCGGTGAATATGAACGAGGACGATAGAGGGGCGGTGATGGGGTGTACGGCAGCCTGATGTTTAGCATTGATATTTTTAGCATTCAGCATTTAGAATGATATGTGCTTAGCATTGAATGTCGGTCACGCTTAGACCATTGTAAGTAAACTTCAGAATACTCCGCAGCTAAGAAACAGCCTAGCGGCTCTCCGCCGAGGAGATTTAACTGTTGGACAGGGGCCGATGTTAGCTGTTAGTGGCGCAGTCAGGAGTTCGGCTAGGAGGGGCCAAATCGGGATATTTAAGACTGCTTCATTTTAGATCCCTTTCTTTATCGCTTGTGGGATCTGTTTCTTTATGTTTTTTATGCGCATATGCTTTTATGTTTCAGAACCCCTACGAGCTTTTCACGCTGCCAAAGACGATCCCAGCGCAAAAGGCTGATCACAAGCATTTCAAGCCCAAGCTGGTGCTAATGCCACTTTCGGTCAACGTTCGCAAGCACCGGAAATACTGTCCTGCGCATTCCCCTCCGTTTCCCTAACATTGCTTCTGCCGGCCAACAAGACAACAATAGGCTTCACTGCTGAGGCATCGCTGCGTTCCTATGTTTCAGCTCCCATTCATGCGCACGCCCAGTGAAATGAATTATTTAGTGGACACGCCTTTGTAGAGTGCGCCGTTTACTGGTGCGTGGCCTCCTGGTTTATGCAGAAGTTTTCCGCGCTCAACACCCGAGGCTATTGTACGACGGGCCATCTATCATCTTGTCCTAGATGACAAATGCCACGCTTTTGCCACGGCGGCGGCCAGCCAAAAGCGCCGGCGGCGGCGGCGGCGGCCAGCCAAAATTTGGCCGGAGATCTGGCCGGAAATTTGGCCGGCGGCGGCCAGCCAAAAGCGTCTGACCGTGTCCGCTCTGATGCACTCTGGCATTCACGATGCACGGTGGGATGTGTGCTGTGGCATTGTAGGAGGTCTCGGTACAGTACCGGAGGACGCTTTTTTGGCGGTTATCTTTCTCCGTGTACAACTTTCCTGGCCATTCGCTGCTCACACGGATGCGGAAAAGCTTGGCCAGAGATTAGGTTTACGGAACTGGAAAGGATAGCACATCTCAGTTTTCAGACCCGGCTATAAGAAGTCAAAAAAATGACGATTGGATGTCGCTGTATGACACAATTGGCGCATAGCGCCGGGCCGTAGTTCAATGAAGCTTCATCCTCCTCACCCTCTGTGTTGAGCCATTCCCTTCCCCTCCCCATCCCCTCCGTTGGGCCAGCTTCGACACAGGCCACGTGACAGGTCATCTGTGCGGGCGGAGAAAGTCCAAAAACGGGTCATTATTTCCCCCAAGCTATATGGAGACGTTCTATCTCTCGTTTTGCGCGAAACCGCGCCGTACTGCTATCGTTAGAAAACGGACGCATTATTACGGGGTTTGAAAACAACGAGAATGATATCCTAGAAAAAGAACACCTACGCAGACCCACTGGGAGCTTGTCTAAATCCGAGTAACGTTAAAGAGAGTGTTCCGCATTGATGTGGGGCTCTGAACTGAAACAGCCATCCTGAGGACTTTTTAGTGCTGTTCACAATTCTGCCTGTCTAAGACCTAAGCTCCTCTAGTTTTTGAGCTCTACGCCCGCCAAAATGGGGAACGGCATACTGGGGAGAGCATTTCAAAGTCACCCAGACATTCATGACTTCGTAATAACGTCATTCAGATCCTGCCATTCCATATGTCATGCAGTGTTCACAGTAAAAAAATTGTCGAGGCGCTCATATCTGGCGTTCATGAGCGCGATTTTCAGATATAACGGCCGTCAACTGGCTCTCAATCAATGTTGTGCAATGTACAATGATGTAATCAAACCATGACGCATAAAGGATCATTTTTACTGAACAGAGAATTCCGGGGTCTAGAGCGGTCTTTTCCGCTTAAAAAGCATACAGGTACTTATTAGTGAGTTTGTTTCATTATATCTGCACTAGTAGTTATAAAGCATACCAGTAGTTACAAGTGAGCTTGTTTCATCAGATCTGACACTTGATTCAATGTCTTCAAATGTTAAACATTCCCTTTGACATTCCTTTTGGCGGCTGGCCGCTTTCTTTTGAACTTAAATGGAATTAAAATCCATCGGATCTCAGACAAAATTAAGGTCTGGCAAAAGACATTTGCAACACGAAAATGCCATTTTATCTCGTCTTATCTATTGCACATCAAGCGCTATTGCCTGATTCAGTCCGACCAGCCAATAAACAATACACATTGGTGAGACCTTGAAATCTGACTTTGACCTCTTAAAAAATATCTAACTCAGTTCCCCTCCGACCTCTAACAAGTGAAAGGCCACGCCATGGCCAGTGATAACAGCGTTGACAACTGCATGCGAATGATGTAAATTTCCCTCGAGTAGCTTTGACACAGGGACATGGCCCTGGTAGCTTACCTTGACCCAGTTCCCTTCCGGCATCTGAAAGGTGACATGTTGGTTTGACATGTCGATGTACTGGTGTATGTGGTCTACCGGTCCCGACACCCCATGGTTCGACTTGTCGAAGAACAGTCCCTGTTGAACAAAAGAGAGAGGGTACAGTTAATGCTTATGGACGCCATGGCTGACGACATCTGTCCCGTGTCGCGCTCTTATGGACGCCATGGCTGACGATACCTGTCCCTTGTCACCCCCTAGGCTAGCAGGTGCTGAGCGCACCTGATACGAATGAATGAAGAAGGGGAAGTCCGTAATACCAATGAAGTAATGCGTAGAATGAGTGAACGCAGCCGAACGAGCAGTTACTATCCTAATTAATGCATGCATCACCTTACTTACCTATCTTTTGCGTTTTTTTCAAGCGATACATTGAAACACCAGTCACCGATTGTGTTCTTTAGACGCTGACTTGCTGTAAAGAAACCCCGATTTTCGAGTGCGCCTTTTGCACAGAGCAAAAACTTGGCACGAGTTTGCGACAACACGGTATGTCACCGTGTTTAGTGATCGCCACTTTATACATTTTTGTCTCGTGAAGAGGAGCCAGAGAGATGTTTTCCAGTTGGTAGCACAGGCCGAAGCGCAGCAGGTGACTGTGACACGTTCGTCACGGGTCTCAGGCTCTGGGTGCTGGACTGGCAGTGCAGAGCAGCGCAGAAGGCGACTACAGTGGTGTCGGCACGCCTCGTTCGACCCAGGGCTGTATGACCATTGTTCAGCCGCGACTCGCTTGTCAGGTCCTATGGAGCCTTAGCAACTGAGGCCAGACATTTTTCAGCACAAGACGCTCTTTGCACATGCTAAATGAACCGAGCACTGTCTCCTGGGGTTACAACATGGACACTATGGTAAATGTTCGGCGCGCTATGAACGCTCTCGCAATACTTCAGATGACATGGGCATGGAGCGCAGTGTAAAAGACATGGACCACATCAAACTTCATTTGGCCGGCTACTGCGTGCTCTCCACCATGTCATAGTACTCACATGGGCCATGTCGTACTGCTTGTGACCGATGATCTGCGCGCTTTCCACCATGTCTCAGTACTCACATGGGCCATGTCGTACTGCTTGTGACCGATGATCTGCGTGCTCTCCACCATGTTGTTTCCTGGCCCGGAAGCGATGCACGTCTCCACGCGGCCCCCGCACGTGCTCGTGTCCGCGTCGCAAGGCAGACCTGCGACACGTGGCCACGGACTCGGATCAGCCACGCGCGCAGCTGGTCGTCTTGGAGAATGTAAGCAATGATGTTTGGGCTATCGGACGACGTAACAGTATCGCACCTAGTCAGATTTGAACCCGCCAGTCGCCGCCCGATGGAGGGCGATCGCTCAACTGACTCGGCCAGCCTCCGCACAGTTAAGGTGAGGAACTGCTTTCGGAGTGGTGCGTTAATCTGGCAAGAGAATGTGGTGGCAGGACTGGATGCATTGACGCGTGTAGAAAAATGTATTTGGGTCTGGCGTTGTATCTTTGATGGGATGGGTGCGCTTGTCGTGGACTTTGTGATGGGCGCGCTTGCATCATTCCCGCCGTCCATTGTTATCGAGGCTTGGACTACAAAGAAGGTATGCTGTTTTGCGTGATCCCGACCACGGTAGCGCAAAGGGAAAAGACACTCGCACTATCCACAAATGTCAGATATCCATCGATCCAAGCAAGCTGCAAAAAGTCACGCACGAATTCCAAGACCACACGTAGCTTCCAGAATATTCAAGAATATTCTGGCTCCTCTCTCGCTGGTGCCTGCAAAAAAGCTCGTTAGCCATGGCACATATGCAGACCTGTGTCGATGCACTTGGCTCCCCGCGTGTTCGGCGAAACGTCTCCCAGATTGGAGGAGCCGAACGCAGCCACAAACGGCCCCGTGCCAGGCAGCGCCCCGCCATTCATCATTGACTCGAACATCTGTCAGAGAGTGTACAGCGGCGCGTCAGTGCGCAGAAGCTCTCAGATACAGCGCCCGCCACCTAGCGGCGACCTCACACATTGTCTGCAGGAGCACTGGCATAAGGCGCACGGCGGCGCAAACGTAAACGGGTCAGAGCGCTGAGTGTTTGAAAGCCCAGCGGCATCGACGCGTTTTTTAAACGTAAGGGAATGCGACGCACCCCGCTGTCTCTGTGAAGTGACTGCAGAGGTCATTGAAACGTTCGGAGGTATGCCACCACCAGGATTCGAAGCCAGATCTCCCACGTATGAGCGGAAGGTGCTGACAACTCGGCTACCACGCCCCAAAACGATGCGCGTCAGCTGCAGTGATGCTAAAACAATGCACCGTGTCATAACACATCATTATTATTGGTTGAGTAGTCTGCAAACTGGGTGAATAACCCCAATAGCACCATCAAATTCACGAACAGCCTGCAAGGGTGTGTTTTACTGCGGCATAAAACCACGCGCCAAAAACACGTCGGTGTACAAAAGCGCACGGAGACGCCCAGATGCCATTCCTTAACCAGCGAACGCGGGCGAATTTCATGGTTCCTACCGGGCAGCAAAAGCGTGTGTTTGCCATAAAACCGATGCAGACTCTACGTACATAGTGGCATCATCACAGGGCGACTTATTCGTAGATTCACTCTCCAGTGGTTAGAAGGATAATTTGTCTGCGCTGCGTTCGGTTTCACATATATTACTCTACCTGAACGTCAGACTGGCACTTTGAAGCGCTGACGTTCAACAAGTGCCCACTGGACACGATGGAGAATGACCAACTGATCACTATGAACATTCCGAACACTTCGGACTGCACCTGCTCCGCGTAGCCCTTGTTGTCTCCCGAGATGTACTGGTTTGTGTTGTTCATGCTGGTGCCATGAACAGCGAACCAGTTAATCAGACCTGCGAACCGATCACTGAGTATCACTGATCACCACTTTATTCTCTGATCCTCGTCCAAAAGCCGGCACAGCCAATGCAGCGCGAAAGAACGTGATCTCTAGGGCATTTGTCCTCCACACATATCGGGGTTTTGGTACCAAGCATTCTCAGGTAGTCACGGTCACTGTAATGGCCAGATCCAAAGACAGTGCAAGCAATGAATAAGCACAGAAATGCACGAGCAATGTAAATAAATGCCGCCATTGTCGCAGTATTTTCAACACCAGCTAAAAACATGTTCGAACAGTATCATGATTTAAATATAAATATCATGGCAATCATCGAAATAATGCATGGTGGTGCATTTCTCAACTGGGGCTGAAGCAGAAAATGGGCAACATATTTTCAGTTTTGTTTCTTACATGTCAACCTTAAGATCATCGATGACGTAACAGAACATTGCATGACGACATTTGATGATGAGAGGTGAGAAGTGATACATTTAGATAAAACTGTCGATTTCAAAGACTAGTTTTGGTCCACTTGTGACGTTTCACCATGAGTCTAGCGGTGCTCTGGCAAAGCAAGAGAAATGCAAGCCCTTTCCCCTCCATTTTTCGATGAATCTGCGTTCGTGTGGCGATGTAATTATTTGACTCTATACATTTGACTCTATACATTTGACTCTATACATTTGACTCTATACATTTGTAACCACGGCAAACCGAGCTGTGGTCAAGTCACAGCCCATGGAATGTTGTGATGACTCTTGCTAAATTATGTTGGCCTGGAAGTTGTATAAGAGACGTCACATAAATAGAAACAAAATCGTCTCTCGGTTAATGCATGTTTTAAGTACGTTACATGTTATTGTTCATGCCAGAGCGATTGCGCAAGTTCCAGATAGTTCTTCTCAAAAACTGCGTTTATTCTGATACGATGTTAGCGTACTTGTCACAACTTGCAGTGGGACATGACAGGCGGTAGCCGATGAGGCGGTGGCGAATCCACGAGGCGGTGGCGAATCTGGCAGCCTCCAAGTCTTAAGCAACACTGGTCAGTTCCGGCCTTAAGGCCATCTATTTAATTTTACGACGATGACCAATAATTTCCCGTCAATGATTGCTGGTTCACATGATCACAAGCCAAGCCACTGCCTACCTTTCGGTGAGTCGTCGGCATTAAAGATCTTCAGCAGGAACATTTCTTTGTCGGTATCATACTCATACCTGAAAACAAAGGCATCAATGGCAACCGGACGGAGAATCCTGTGCACTCCTCCTCTTGCAACGGTGTTACTCAAATAAACTATGGTCACTCACCAGTTCACAAGCAACACCAAACCATGGTCGGTGGTCCACTCGCAGCCAGGTGCAGTGCTACGGAACAAGGGATGCGATGGTCTTCAATATCAATCAGATGACGTAGTTTTAAAGACAGAACATGCCGCAATGCTTTATTTTAAGCACTTGCATTCCGAATCAAACTGAAGGTTTGGGTTTGCTATATTCGAATATATCTAAATCTTTCCAATTCTCGAACCCGAAAACGACGACTCGAACCTTGAAAACAAGGATTGGAATAATAAAAATCACAATAAATCCTCAGCATGATGAATACTGACGGAAAAATTGGAAATCATTTCAATACATTTGAGCGTGTTCGATGTCGAATCAAAATCGGAATCCGAATCTAAACCCACCTCCCACAAGATTCTGAGCCCAAAATGGTGTGAATCCTCAGTTCTAGTTGTGAAACTTGGCGGGGGTTTGGATGGAAAGAACTGGATTTTATCTACTTTATCTAGATTCTGCAACTGAATTGCAGAATCTAGATAGCGCAGATAAAGTAGACAAACCTAGGATTGCGCTTAAAATACACTTTATCCAAAAGACGTTCAAAACGGAGGACCCGTACACTACGTCTGGCGTGGGGATGCGCGAGCGCCCACAGTGATATTTAAAAATTAAATCTCGTAATGAATGGCGTGCTTTCTCATTGATTCCATATGTTCAAAACGTGATAGACGTTGGTGCTTTACCATAGATAATTCTGAAGATAGTGATGGGTATTTTGGCAGACTTAGAACCGCCTGAGCCCTTACGGCAATCATTGGTGTGGAGCGCGCCCGATCACGGGCATTCCGGATCTCCAGGGATACGTTGATTTTGTTGAATCAAAACTTTTTTCCTTTATTAAGAAGTTGATACCATCGACTCACATTGAACCAGCGCGGGGTTCGGCGCAGCAGAACCGTAGTTATTGTAGTAAGGAAGGAAGGTTCTTCTGTTTCGGTGACTTTGATGTCCCAGCGCAAAGTCGAAAGACACCTGGGGCCTCCGCAGATCCTAAGACGACAGGTATGCTAGGTATTGTTCTTTCAGCATTACACATCTTTCCACATTACGTCGCTAATAGATTTTCATTTCGTTAAGGTGGTTTTTGGATCTCGGGTTGAATTGCAAATAACTACATGTTTCGAAATGCTTCCCCGCTTGTGGCTCTTTGCCAGCTTCCTTCGCGTTCTTAATAATGCTTTCATCCGAACGGGGTGGCTACGTGCGTAATCACTGTGGCACAATCATTAGCCCACATCTTCAAATCAATAACTTATCGAAACAGCTAAGCCCGATGGCCTAACAAGCTAAAAGCGCTTCCTTTACGTTACCAACTTGTCCAATTGCGGGCGTGACTCATGGGGACTCGACAACTCATCCTAGCCTTGCGCTCAATATCCAGGGAGAAGCGACCGACGGTAATTCAAGCTTCGCTGGGGGCTTTGAACTGACTTAAATGCACTATGTGGACTTCTCAGGAGTTGTAGATCCAGCATGCCAAGATGTGAGATGGAGTAATCCAGGCAGCTGAGAGGCTACCCTGATGACAGAGCCTGTTCAGACGTCACATCCTAGTAAAGGATATATGAACATCAGTTATTGATTCGTTGGATGGAATATGCATGCAGGCATCATAAATATCATGCAGACATCATAAATTACAAATGTTCTACAGTTGTACCAAGCTTTGCATTTGGCCACGCTGACTGAAAAAGAGAAAAGGACCCTTAAGTCTGTAAAATTTGCCAATAGTTGTGCAGGAGCTGAAGAACCAACCACGTCGATGACTTTAATCCATGTGCCGCAGATGACTTGTGGACTAGATGACAATCCCGTGTACAAGAAAACGTTGAAAACTGCCTTTGAACCTCTTTGAAAATGTCATTCTATGCTACCAAAATATACTACTCCACGTTAAAGTACAACGCGGAAGGCGTAGTGCGCAGCATGCCAAAAGTTAACGAGTTGGGTGACAAAAGTTGATCTCTCCGCGACTCACAGGCAGGCGCGCAGCCAGAACCGTGTCAAGGGGGGCACGGGGCTAACAAAGGGCCCCCTGTTAGCAAAAGATCCCCGCAAAAACTCGCCGGATAGGTCCATTGGTTGACGATGACATGATACACACACATAAACATACATACATATATATATATATATATATATATATATATATATATATATATATATATATATATATGTGTGTGTGTGTGTGTGTGTGTGTGTATGTGTATGTGTGTGTGTGTATGTGTGTGTGTGTGTGCGTGTGTGTGTGTGTGTGTGTGTGTGTGTGTGTGTGTGTGTGTGTGTGTGTGTGTGTGTGTGTGTGTGTGTTATAGGTTTTTGCCCTCCATAACTGGAATAGAAGCCAGACGATACAGCGGGATTAATTTTGCCCGCAGCCAATAAGCTAAAAGATCATATGTTAAGCGACTGCATGGAATAAATCGCTATCGCTCTTCATTTTAAGACGGTCCAGTGGACTCGTCTTAAACCCATAGAACTCAGAAACTTTGTTAGAATTTTGTCCTGTGTTGAACAGAGATATCAGGAACCCCACGATTCTAGACCGAAGATAAAAATGGCTGAACAATTTGCATTAACACAGTAGTAGCCAGCGGGCAATTATACGAAGCTCTGCAGGACATTCTGCGGGATCAAAATTGACATTGCCTTCGAGGCCAACAGAAAAAGAGAGCGTTTGGAACGTTTCAAATAGACGAGTTTTAAATAGTAAAAAGCTAGTTCTACCCAATTGTAGGTATTCATGGAGCGTTGACTGGTCTCGCTAGTCGCGTTCTGTATGTCGGATATATATATATATATATATATATATATATATATATATATATAATAACCAGCAATCTCGGGTGACTAGGACAGCGATAACCCGGGTTGCGCTTTCCTTAAAACCGAGCGGCGTCGGCCATTGCAAGTTACGCCAAGCGGCGGGCAACGTGCGTGCAACAACGACCATCGTAAAACAATGTTTCCGAATGTATTTCAAAACGGATTCCTGCAGTTCAAAGAGCAGAAGGGGCAGATTGCTTTTACAACGTTGAGGCTGTCCTCTGGCCAGATAAACAGAGCAACACGAAAAATAGAGATTCTACCTTTATTGTTCCAGCTGCACCACCAGATTCCAGCACTACTACGAGGTCTTGTAAAGGCCATCCGTGATTACCATCATGCCATGATGTTATTACCATTATCATGCCACGATGGGCCTCGCGGCAGGTAGCTTCTTTTTACTGCGGACAAATTCCGGGATTTGCGTAGTGAATGGCTGTGCTGTTCTGTTCATGGTTGAGGAATATGCTTTGATCGCCGCAAGTAACCTGCAAGCAGTGTGACGCTGTCACGGCTTGTTTACTTAGTAGTTATTCATTTGTACTTCACGATGGTAGCACGATTTGTCTGTTTGACGGTGTTCGCTAACCTGTTTCACGATTTATACCTTGTTAGTCTCTTCGGAATTGGTCATAACCATTCACTTTATCAGATAACCACTCCGCTGCGCCTCATAAGGCGTTTCTACCGTCTCGTTCCGCGTGCACTAGATCTGCGCGCAGTGGAACGCTCTGCAGTGCGCCCTCGCGAGATCGGATGTCGCCCGCCTGCGCCCCGTGATTTAAATAGACTGACGCATACTGCGTAGCATCAGACGAGGTCCGACCACGACCAGGGTCGCGACTCTGCACTGTTTACTCAGTGCTAGCGAGTCCGACCATCGTGTGGCCAAATATAGATGACCTTCTATTTTCAATGGACAACGAGAAGAAGAACGTGGGTCTACTAAGTGATGCGTTACAGCGATGTGTAACGATCACGCTACAGTTTTTACCTTAACGAACAACGAGAGGAAGAACGCGGATCTACCAAGTGAAGCGTTACAGCATTGCGTAACGATCACACCACAGTCCTTTCCTTAATGAACAACGAGAAGAAGTGCGCGGATCTACCAAGTGAAGCGTTACAGCAGTGTGTAACGATCACACCACAGTCCTTACTTTAATGGACAACGAGAAGAAGAACGCGGATCTACCAAGCGAAGCATTACAGCAGTGTGCAACCATCACACTCGTCTTTACTTTAATGGACAACGAGAAGAAGAACGAGGATTTACCGGGTGAAGCGTTACAGCAGTGTATAGCGATCACACTACAGTCCTTCCTTTAATATGAACGAAAAACAAGCATCAATGAGCCCGTATGAATGTGGGAACGCTAGTTGTGGAATCCCAGTAAAGTCACGTGTGCGACTCGGGATATTAGGATGAAAGCATCTTTTTCGAGAATGCCCGTATATTCTCGGTGAGCCTGTGCCTTCGTCGCCATTTGCAATGGCTGCCACCCGACCAGTTAATGAGGGGGATTTACCCCCTCAGCAAAAATTACCCGCGAATCAATACTGGGAATAAGCGAATCAACAGTCCCCACTACATGCAACGTATATGATTAATGTAAACAAGTATTCGTCGGAGAGAGACGCACTTATCCCAAGAAGCGTTTCTTTTATAGATCGATTATTGTTGCGCACAATTACTGTCTGCGAACAGAAGAGAAGGTAAAGAGGCCATGTGTCAACAACCATGACGACGTTATGGGCGAGCGCGTAACTTAGAAAAATGCAGGAATTTCACCTTGAATTGTCAAGTCATTCACGGCGCTTGCTGTCTTCATGGTAGTTTGGTTTGGGATTATCGTGATGGTCGCAGCCTTATCATGCAGGTGAGGAAATAGTTGTGCATGGCTAAATTGCAGGGACTGAGTGGCATTTACCGCTCATTACGCAGACGGCATAATCAACTAGATTAAAACGAAACAAATGCGAAAATAATCCGCGAAACTTGTGTACGGTCTTATAGCCGTAGTTTTTCCTGTAGGATATACTACACCTGACCTATCCTTTATACCGTCTGCATTGTCGTCGGATCACTTGCCCGTCCAACTCCATCTTCGATCAGAGTACGGGCGGAGGGCGACAACGCGGGAATGCGGAGGTGGACAGATATCACAGTGGAGCTAGACTATACCTTGCGGTACGCCAGTGCTGGGGCCACTTACTTGTCCCGCTCCTCCTGCGGGTTGTAGAGGTAGGCAGTCGGCGAGCGGTTAATATTGGCGTCAAGCAGGTCGCCGCGGGTCCAGGTCATGTAGCCCGGCGACAGGTTGTTGTGCGCTCGTCGAATGCTCTGCAGGAATCGGTAATGGTTACGGCACGTGGGTTAGGTGCCATGGTGTGAGGCTGCACATGACGTGATTGGGGTTAATAGGTGGTAACAACCAGTGGCAGACGAAGTTGGCGGCTTTGCTACCTCATAGAAAATAACCCGTATTTAATGCTCTACTTACCCTCCCACAACTGAATTCAATGCTCTTGCCCGACCCGCAAGGAAACGGCTGATTTTTGTACACATATGTCTATGGGTATTCTCGTGGTGACATCCCCACCAGCGGATATAACAGCTCTTTTCTGGAGATGCTTGTTTTTGTGCATCACCACACGGAACATGTGCAGATGTTTACGTACATTGGAATGTTCACGACACAACCAACCCCGTGCGTGCACACCCATGACTCTTAGTAGGCATTTGCACTGGTTAGGCTAATCCTTCCATCACAGCCGCAATTTCGTAAACTGGGTTTGGGTTGAGCAGTGAAAAATGACACAAGCTACCTCCAAAATACGCCAACAAACGTGTTTTCCCACGGATTTGGCCCACCTTCCTCTCAAAGTTGGGGGATGTACAGCCTAGATGGAAGGATGCAGTCCCCCCAACTGAATATAAAATTACACCCGTGCTCTCCATGAGCATTCTGCACACGCCCTGCCTCACCTCCACTATACCGGCCACCTGAGCGTCGAACGTCTCCTGAATCCAGCCCAGATTGGTGATCTGGAAGAGCACGTACTCCAGGAAGCCTGCCGGACCACTGTGGGTGTGCGTCGCAGACAGCAGTATGTTTTCTGCCCCATAGATGTCGCCAAACTCAGCCTTCAGCCGCTTTGCCACCTGGAGGACAGCCGGGCGATGCTCAGCAACGGAGAAGGAACAATCTCAACGACGAAAGTTGTCATCATATGACAGGGCCTCAATGCATTTAAAATGCAGCGTTCGAGCTTAAATGTTGATATTGACTGATGTTTCTCGTACCCAGCTAACCAACGTCTCTGTCCGGAAAAGTGATACTTCGTGATCGTGAAACACAGCAAACTCCATCGTCATCGGTCTTGCAGAGCAAAGGCGCAAATAAGAGGATGGAACAAGGGCTTGGGCCTCTCGGTAAGCAAACGCATGACACCAGGAGGCGATGAAAAACGAGAAACGAGATCGCCATCGAGGCGCTTAATCCACGCTGATTTTCGGAGCACACAACGCCGAACACCGGATGCCCGGGCAACAACAAGGCGACGTTTTGAGGGTGCGCGGCAGGTGCTCCCTATCGAGGCACAAGTGGCAGCTCCTATCGGAGCATCGTCAAGATGGGGCCATCTGTTCACGAGACTTCTTCGTCCGCTGGGCACAGCTCGACAAAAGTTAACCACCTCCTCACCTAACGCGACACGCGAGTCCTCACGCGGGGAAGTAATACACTACAAGTTCGAGTCATGCCGCTACGTGACGCTGCGACCGCGCCACGCAGCTATAATGGGATTTGGAACAAGCCGACTCCGCGGGCTCCAGCTCAGAGAAACTGAACACCACAAGCGACGGCGGCGCGCAGCGGGCGGAGGCGCAGTGACTGTGGTGGTGACGTCGGAGGAGGAGGTACACTCGTGACGTCGTGCCAGGCAGGAGCCCGAGAACCGGCGAGCTGAGAACTTCTCGGCCATCAGGTACGTTGGGGGAGCGTGGCGGACGCCGCCGAGGGCACCCGGGCCCTCGGGGTTCGACCTTGTGTCATGTTGTGCTGGTCGGGTGACTCATAAGGCGGTGACGTCCGCCCCTCGTTCGGTAGCTGCAGAGCGCTGGGGTGAGACTGTGTCGTCAGGAGGCAACACACCCAGTCATCACAGCCAGGAGGTGTTTGTCTTGGCGCCATCTGGGATAAGGGCGCAGGCCTAGGCTGTGCAAGGTTATTTTGTGAACTTGTCGCGACGCTGACAAAAATAATTTGAGTCAACACGTCATAACACGACGCCGTTTTTGGATGAGGTGCGGGCTTGTGGCATGTCGGGCTGTGCATACAACAAATTACCATTCCACCTACCGAGTGCTCTCTGCTGCATCTCCATTCCCAATATGTACTTTTAATCCAAACACAGTGTTCGGGAAGATTATTTGAAGTACGCCAGGTTGGACTGTGATTGACCAGCACGTTGGATCTTCTGCGTAGCCAAGGAGCGGGCGAAGGTCCGGTCTACCCCGTGGACCCGAATGTTTTTATTCATCACTGTAGGTGACTGCGAAGCGTGGTGAATTCTCCCTGAGCTCCTCTCTCCTCAAGACATCGTAGTTGCGATCCTACATTCGAGCCAGACAGCAAAGTGCCGCGTGGCGCTGATCCCCCTGCCTCGAGGAGCCGAGGCCGGCCTGTTCCCGGGTGATGCCACCGCCGGCTGCCCCGTCGCGCGCGCGCCGGCGGACCGTCCCGTGGGACCCGTCGTCGACGCTGAATCTAGGTTAGTGCCGCGCTGGACGGGCGGAGTCGCGCCTCCGGGGACTGGCTCGGAGTGCTCCGCCCGGCGTCCGGTGCACGTCCGTCATCTGGCTGACGACATCGCTCTCAGACAGGCGGCTCCTTGACCAAGCTATGCGCGACTGTCGAGTCGGCATCACGTGCCCCACGCCGCTGTGGGCGAGGTCTTTCCTTAGTTACGTCGGGGCTTTCCGTAGACTTCGGAGGCAGCAAACACTCGCCGCGCCGCGGAAAGGCTGGTGCTGGTGCTGGTGCTGCGCCGATCGAAGCCGGTGACGCGCTGGGCGTGCGACGCTGGTGTTGCACTGAGGTCCTCGGTAAATATTTGCACTGCCGGACGCAGATCGCGGAGACGGACCTTTGCACGGCTGAAAACTTGGCGCCCGAGTTCAAGCGGACCGTTCCGCGGGGTTGTTGCTTGAGCCGCGCCGACACACGGAAGTCACGGATTAAGCAGCGAGCGACCACACCGGCGAGCGACGGCGACCGCAAACCGAGCTAGTCCGCCTTCGCGGCCCGGTGGCCGCGGGGCCCGTGCTGATCGTGCACGACCAAGGTCATGTCGCTGGGAGGGCCGTACTATTACTGGCATCTACCCGTGGCTCATTGATCGCGGGATCCCATGGCGCCGCAGCCGAGTCATCCGCGTGGTAACCCACTTCCCGGCCCAGCGACTGCAAACGGCAAATATCGGCGCACGAGGGCGCGGCGCTGCGATAGCTTAGCAACGCCGGGTGGCGAGCGTCACTCGCCTGATAACGAACGTCTGTGATGGTAACCAGGCCCACGGTATGGTTGACTGCTTTGGAAAGTCCTCACCGGCATTTTTGACTCATTCGTCCGCGCTAAAACCTCAGAGTGTCAGCACGTCATCAGCCTAAAGTCGAAGACTGGTTCGTCATTGTCAACTCCGGTGACATCTCTCCGCGAAGGATTCCGTTCAGCCTCTGCTGAATCAAATTGTCACATTCAGTCGACGCAACGACTTCGCTCGTGTTATGACAATGATGCACCTCGTCTCTGCAGTGTAAACACCGTCTGTTCGAAGCATTGGTGCCTCGACGTGCTACCGCATGCAGCGCTTACCACCGAGAGCCGTGCGACCATACCATGCGACGCCCCTATCCGTCCACACTGCACATCCCGGATGGTCTACCGCAAGGGTGAGCGATCGCCCCCATTTATTCTGCGCAGGCGCCGGCGGGTCTGCAGACGGCCTGCGCGGCCGCCCCGTCTTTTCGACGTCACAAAGGCGAACGACTCGCACCGCAGATCAGACGGGACACAGCCGTAAATGGGGAAGGGCGGACCCGAGATGCCGTCCCGGCAAAAAAGACGGGAGTTAATGAGGGCGTCGGGGCGGGCTAATGTCACGGAGGAGTGCCGTCGGCGCCCGTCTGTGGGCGGAAGGCAACGCTATGTTGGGTGACTGCGGAAACTTTTTCGTCGCGATATCCCCCTCTGCAGCTGCATTCCCCCGGATATCTGGTCACAGTTGAAAATCAATGTTTTGTCATCAGGGCATCATCACTTTATCTACCCCACCACGACATTCTGTAATAACATTACTGGCCCTAAATGTTGTTGTTATATTACTGTAAGCTCCACTTCACTTCACTCTATCTTGTATCAATCTTAAGTTAATTTTACTTCATCGTTGTGTTACTTTGATCTTATTTCACTCTGAGCTCTACTCTACTTAACTCTAATATTATATCTTTGTAAATATAATATTACTAAGGCCCCTCGTAGTTCTCCACAGCTTCAGAAGATTCCGACCGTTTTCCTGCCAGCTCCGCCAGTGAGACCGAACACAGGCGTTCTCACCGCGTCCTCCCTCTCCCCTCGTCCTCGTTCTCTCATTCCGCCGCCACGGTCGGCCAGTATTTGGGCCCGGACGCGTTGCAGGCCCATCCCATCTCACACATCATGAGGCGTGACGTCATGCATCAGGATCGCTGGGCATCGCCCCAGGCGGCGCCGCCCCGAGCAGCTGGGGAGGAGCGTCTGCTAGCCATCCGCCCGGGGCAGCGACCGGAGCTGTTTTGCACCTCCCCCCCCCCCCCTCCGCCCCCGCCTGGCGCAGGGTTGCATCAGCCGACGCGGCGGCCAGGCTACTTCCGGGACCGAGGGGAGGGGAGGGTCGCTGCGTCGGACGCAGATGGCCCCGGAGGGCTTTTCGGGCGGGAACGGCTCCAGCGACAATCTCTGGAGGATCGGTGTGTAGGTGGTAATGATTGGTTGATCGATGACGTGTCTCAGCTTCAAGGTCAGACAGACCCAGGCAGAAGATGCTCTGGCGCAAAAATGGAAGCCTCTTCAGTTACGGTCGCACCCTGCGAGGTCTCCCAGACCTGCGCTATGGTACGTTATCTTGCTGTTCCGCACCAAGAACCACGCAAAAAGCGGTAGAATCCTGGATCCGCCCCTGGCGCAGCGTCGCTGTGGGAGCGTACCCAAAACTGAGGCCGGACGCTGCGCAGAACACGTCTTCATTCCTGCGCGTTAGGGCGCGCTGACGTCGCCGTGCGACCGTCGGGCGATCGCGGTACGACCGTCAGGCGATCGCCGTACGACCGTCGGGCGATCGCCGTGCGACCGTCGGGCGATCGCCGTACGACCGTCAGGCGATCGCCGTACGACCGTCGGGCGATCGCCGTGCGACCGTCGGGCGATCGCCGTACGACCGTCGGGCGATCGCCGTACGACCGTCGGGCGATCGCCGCGCGACCGTCAGGCGATCGCCGTACGACCGTCAGGCGATCGCCGTACGACCGTCGGGCGATCGCCGTACGACCGTCGGGCGATCGCCGTACGACCGTCAGGCGATCGCCGTACGACCGTCGGGCGATCGCCGTACGACCGTCGGGCGATCGCCGTGCGACCGTCAGGCGAGGGCCCAGGACAAGACACAAAAATCGTGACTGAACACAACAGCACATAAGATAGGACAGCCACAGGACGTAACATAACAATCACAACTTAACAACACAACAAACATAACGACCGCGCATGACAACATAATCACATGCAATAACGTAACAGTAAACCTGACCATAGCATAACATAGCCACATGACATAGCATAACATAACAACAGGACACAACACAACGTAGCAGAATCCCAACCCACATCGGCATGACTTGAGCACCTGGGTGCATATTTAATGGGTGCATATTTATTTTCATTTACCGCTCACGCCCGTAAAAATTTCGGGGGAAATCTCGCCTCAACCGCTCATGATGCAGGATATCTCGGACCGGTATGTGCAGTGAGGTGCACCGAAAAAAACGCCGACCGGACTCCGGTCTCTGGGAGCTGGTCAGACCTGTTGGCGGCAATGACCTGGCCGTCGTCATAATCCGGTCGTGCTCTCGGTCGGCGCCGTTCCGCGGCGGTGACCAGCTATCGCCCAAGCCAGTTATTTACCGAGGGCTGGAATCGCCATAGCGGTTTGGGCACCACAATCTGCCTCAAGTCTCATGGCACGCTTCTGGTTTATTTCGGGCGGATCGACGTTTTTGTCAGTGAGCCTCCTCCCACACACCACTGACTGGTCGAGCCGAGAGCAAGGAGCGGAGCAGGGACATGCAAGGGTCGGATTAATGCTGGCTGGCAGTCGGCTGTTTCCACCACAGTGTCGGCATGGTTGCGATTTATTTTGTTAAGTGATTGCCAATGTCGTCACTGCAAAGGTTGCTGAAGAAGTCGATGTAAAAGTAATAATATTTCGTACTTAAGCATTTGCAGCTCAACGTGCTGACATTTCGTAAAATAAATTCCGGGTTCTTTAGGAACAAAAGTTTTTTTGTATTTTCAAGCGTATTTTTAGAAGGCGCAATTCACGCGAGAAGATAAGGCATCTTTGAGTTCACCCCAGATGAATGTAGGCTTTTCACTCGCTGTGGCCAGTCACGAAGACCGGGATCATGGGCACGTGCGCGACGGAACGGTCACCGTGAAAGCCTTAATTTTACTTGTGCCTCTGCATCACGAGCTGTATGCTTTGGGTTTGGTGACCCAAACGGGCAACAAGAAAAAGTGTCGGCACTGGCATGGCAGCATACTTATATGCCTCATACCTTCGGTGATTAAAGGCGCAAAGCCGGCTTGGGTTCTTCGGTAAGCCGGGACATTAGGCAGGTTTTAGGAATATCGATGCAAAGCGTGCGGCGTAGCTGGTTTGCGACTGTGAGCAACGTTTTAGCTGGTTTGTTTGCTATCCTGCCCTCAGACGAAGGTGGCGTAAACGCGTGACTGTTGCCGTTGACTTGTTTGCCCCGGGACCGGTGTTTTATTTTCTTTGCGTCTACTCTTCCGCTACATTTGCATCCGCTGACCTTGAGTATGAAATTGTTCAGGGTTCGATGTTTGCAATATATTCGTGGGATTTGATGGCCATTTTTGTTTTGAACATGATGCCATGGTTGCACCAAAAGCGACAGATATCATCAGTACCTTATACGCCATGCACTTTACATGGTGCTCTCCATTGACCGTGGACTAATTGTATACCATGTCCTAAGCAACATTTTCCTATCGTCATAACGGGCCACAGCACATCCAAACCCGAAGAAACACAAAACCGCCTTCCAAGAGGCAGTGGCTGGCATCGCCTCTGGCAGTGCGAGACCTGCGAGTCTCCTAGCGTCGCCTCTGGCCGGCGAGCGGCCGACGCTCGCGGTCTTTGACCCGGTGATCGGTGCAACACACCCCCCAGAGGACAGTTGGCCAAACTGGCCCCGTTTCTCGGCCGTATCACGTGATCAGCAAGCCAGCCCCAGGGAGGCAGGGCGGGCCGGTGGCAAGGCTCTGTCGCGCTGTCGCTACCGTCGACCCTTCAGCTGCGTCCACTCAGTCATCCCAGTCAATCATTCTGGTCAACCATTCCCTCGACCATTACGCTCAAACACTCCCTCAACCATTCCACTCAGCGGTTTCACTCGATCATTCCAGTCAACCGTTCTACTTAAGAATTATAATCAAGCATGCCACTCAACCATTCCACAAACATTTTATTTAGCCATTCCGCACCACCATTCCAGTCAATCATTCCAATCAACCATTCTACACCATTCTAATCAAACAAGCCACTCAATCATTCCACTCAGCCATGCTATTCGCCATTCCACTGAAGCATTCCACTCAACCATTCAACCCTCCAGTATTTTGTGTCATTACACCGGAGTCTCGGCGACTTAGGGCGCAAACGCGCACAACGAAAATCTGCCAGTCTGAAATCATGTGTCGCTTGGAGCAATAGGAAAACAGAGATTTGGCTGGCAGCGTACCTGCCTGCTAACGAGAATGACAACCTTCTGATAATAGTTTGCAGAAGTGCGCACTATAGTCCAACTTGAATAGCTGCCACCGGGAAGGGAACCCGTGGCTGAGTTTGCAGAAGTGCGCACTATGGTCCAACTCGAATAGCTGCCACCGGGAAGGGAACCCGTACGTGATGGTGGTGATCCGTAGAGTTAAAGTAGATGAGGTGCGAGGGAGGAGTAAAAACACCGCCGGCCTGTTTTGACCAGTACACCCTAGGACGCCTGGGCTCCACGCGAGCCATCGCCCACTTCAATTACCCGCCGTTGCCTCCTTGGGTACACTTCCGCCTCGGACCGACCCGACCCGATCGTTACGATCTTCCCCGGCCGGCGACAAACAGCCGCGCACCGCTCGGGTTCAGAGAAGCGTTTCGTGGTGCCGGCCCCGCGCCGCCCCGAAGTGGGGCAGCGGGAGGGCTGGGACGGCGGCCGGCGTCTTGGTGGCGGAGAAGCGCCGGCCGCTGGAGACGTGGAGTGATTGGATTCCAGCCCCGAGCCGTCTCGCCACCCGCCCGCTCGGCGTCGCCGATACTGTACATCGATCTCGAGGGACGCCTCTCTGACCTGAGACCTGAGACCTGAGACTTGAGGCCTCAGACCTGAGGCCTGAGACCTGACGTTCAGAAGCAGGATCGCTACGCGAGCCCCTCCCCCTCCCCCTCCCCCCATCAGCTGGGTGCGGACAAGTGCCCGGTGCGTGTTCATACCGAGCACGTTCGTCGATTTATTAGATTCCATGCCCCGTCAAGCGGAACGAGGCGCTGAGCAAAGTACGACGCGCTGGTACTGTGTCGGAATTTTGTACGCAGACTAGACAGTGGTTGAGAGGGGAGCATTAAACGTGTAATATGCGATTATTTGGAGTCAGAAAATTGGTATCGATGGTGTATTTCGTATTGTGTATTTCTTACTGTATGCCTTTTCATTGGTACATGTATAATTGTCATTTACTGTACCTGTGACGCTTGCTCCCAACAGCAGCTCCTGCGGAGGACATCGGGATAGCTGATGATGAGAATGGTAGCGATGGTCTTCTCGTGCCAAACTGGGACATCGTTTCTACGGTTTTTTTCTTCGCCGCTGCTCCTCATTTTCCAAGCAAGGGGCGCTGTTCGCCAGCGGAGAGACGCTCACCACTACACCGGCGTTCACGGCGGTACGGTAAACGCCGGTCTGGTTTCTCATAAGTGTGAGATACGGTAGGTTCGGGACGCAACAACCAGGTGGGTTCGAGTCCCACCTGTGGCGCCGCATTTCCGCGGCAAGCCCGACAGCCGCCACCCGGCGGGCATGGCCAGATGAGCTACGCTGACTTGACCGTAGCGTCTCCCGGGGATCTGAGTGGCGTTAGTTCCGCCAGCGTCATGCCGGGCGCGCCCGTGCATTGTTGGGCTAGGTCGGCACGAAAGCTGAGTGTAGGGCTCGCAGCGGGCAGCCAGTGGGGTTGTGGTGACGGTCCAGAGGCAGATGCGGGTTGTGGCCGCAATCAAGAGACAGACGTGTGTTGTGGTGACGGTCCAGAGGCAGGCGCGGGTTGTGGTGACGATCCAGAGGCAGATGTGGGTCCTGGTGAGGGTCCAGAGGCGGATGCGGGTTGTGGTGATAATCCAGAGACAGACGTGGCTTGTGGTGACGATCCAGAGGCAGGTGCGGGTTGTGGTGACGATCCAGATGCGGATGTGGGTCGTGGTGAGGGTCCAGAAGCAGGTGCGGGTTGTGGTGACAATTCAGAGACAGACGTGGCTTGTGGTGACGATCTAGGGGCAGATGTGGCTTGTGGTGACGATCCAGGGGCAGATGTGGCTTGTGGTGACGATCCAGGGGCAGATGTGGCTTGTGGTGACGAACCAGGGGCAGGTGCGGGTTGTGGTGACGATCCAGAGGCAGATTCGGGTTGTGGTGAGGATCCAGAGGCGGATGAGGGTTGTGGTGACAATTCAGAGACAGACGTGGCTTGTGGTGACGATCTAGGGGCAGATGTGGCTTGTGGTGACGATCCAGGGGCAGATGTGGCTTGTGGTGACGATCCAGGGGCAGATGTGACTTGTGGTGACGATCCAGGGGCAGATGTGGGTCGTGGTGAGGGTCCAGAGGCAGGTGTGGGCCGTGGTGACGATCCAGAGGCAGATGTAGGTCGTCGTGACGGTCCAGAGGCAGATGTGGGTTGTGGTGACGATCCAAAGGCAGATGTTGGTTCCATCTCTTATGTGTACCGGGCAGGGCGGGCAGTGCAGCTCATCATTGGTAACAGCAGCGGATGTGTGATGAAATATCAGCAGGAACCCTTCGGAATCAGGGTAAAGAGTGGGAAGAACTTGATCCGTGAAACAGCGCGGGGCTCCCGACGTGCTCTGACTGGACAACAAGCCAGTCCGGAAGCAACTGAGTGGTAGAGGCTCTATTTTCACGCGCAGTATTGTACCCAATGGATTTCTTGGTGTACCGTGACACGTTATCACATTTGTTTACAGCCGTCTGACGCTCGCTTTTTCAATATGGTGTCCGCCTAGACAATCTTCTTCATCTGAGTTCTGTCTTCGAAATCCTGTCCCATTCAAGTATTGAGAGGCCAAGACTATCAGGAATCACGGATGACTTCCTGACGAGTGGCCCACTTGCTGGCTGGTGGTTGCGTATGTTCCGCGTCACCTAGTAGTAAAGCATCTGACCGACACGTAATCTTTGTAGACTGGAATGTGATATCATGCGGACCCGTACACAATCTGTCATATTTACTCGAAAACAACGTGTAGTTAGGCGGCTTGAGCGGAGCGCAGCGATCTCGCCAGTAATTTGTACCACTTGGGTGAGGCTAGAGCGGCGCAGTTTTAGGTCAGCGTTCCCGGACATGCTGCTTCATTGAGTAAGGATGTCAGGACCGTTATGGCTGCCGGTGTAGCGGATGATCTTTCATCTAGATGTTACTGCTAGATTTGTGCACATGATGGCTCCGTCCGTCTTTTCCGGAAGATTTTTCTTGGTGAGATACACGTAAAATCCGTACCCTCAGCTTTGCCTTGCGCACCTGGCATGCCGTAATGTTTTCGATGTTGGATTTAGTTTAAGCCTGGAGATCGTTTTTTAGCTTTTTTGGCAATCGGCCCACGTGAGCCAAAGTGAAAACAGAGCCAAGTGAAAACTTAACTGTCCGGAGCAGATCTGCGGCATGATGGTGCTACCAGCCGAGCACGTGGCGTGTTTCAAGACGTTTATTAAATGGAATAGAGGAATAAGTCTGGTCTTCACTCTCCATTTATGAATCGACACACTTAATAACCGAGAGGTTTTATGTGGCCGTGTGGTCAGAACTGAGCGTTTGGAACAGACTGAGAACGTTTGGAACAGAACTCACCGCCATCCTGACGAACTGCGCTCACCTCCATCTTGACGATCTGGGCGGTCATGCCGCAGTCAAGGTTGACGAAGACGGAGCACTTGCCAGAGCCTCTGTAGTTGACGTCGTCGCAGACGATGTAGGCGCGGGAATATAGCCGAATGTGGATGCCGTGGTTTACCATGGCCATGTTGGCGTACCCCATCTGCCGGAGACGTGTAATGCGTCGGAGGCAATACCGGCAACAGATGCCACAGATGCAAACATGTGGGCGGAACTGGGCGAGGAGAGTGTCGTCTACCATGCCCAGGGTGGAGATTTTCGCACCTTGTCCCACTTGTCTCATTGCAAAACATTTTTGCAGTAAATTAAAAACAAAACATCTTATCTCAGCGCAAAACAAAGTGGTCAATGCAATGGCAGTCATCAAATTGCAACCAAATTGTTCGCAACAACACAAGTGCCGGTCCCTGACTCCATGTGGCCTACCTTCGTCACTTCACTTCCTTGCCCCCCCCCCCTTTTCACGGGCGCCACCCCTCACAGAGCCCACGAAGCACCATGAACATTCGGACGCACGCACCGAGCATTCCATTTCATTTACCGAACATTCTGCGCTCTTTCTACCAATATGATGCAACTTATCCGCGTAGAACCTATCCGCATAGGGCGGACGGGCACCGCCTTCCCACGCAACCCCCTTTCCTGTCCCCTATCCACGCCCCTTTCCTGTCCCCGACCACGAAGCCGTTTGTCCTCCGACTGCGCCTCGGCGGGCGCCGGCGGCGGGCGCCGGAGCAGGGCGCCGGTGCCGGGCGCCGATGCCGGGCGCCGGAGCCGGGCGCCGGAACCGGGCTCCGGCGGCGGCGCGCTGTGGGCGTAGCGTTCGCGTCCGTCAGCTGCCGCCGTGTTTTGCTTTCACCGCAACGGAACCACCGCCGTCCCGGCGGCGAACGCTGGGCCTGGGAACGGGTCCAGAGGCGGCCAGTGGCACGGAGATTCCGACTTTCCGACGCGTGCGTGCGGCGAACGCGACCAACCAAAAACGTCCACAGGGCGGCGGACGCAAAACCATCCACGGGCGATCAACCCCGGCGTGACTGGAACCACGAATGACTGCGGTGTGTCTGGAGGTCGCGCCTGCTGGCTAGTTCGACCGGACGCGACCGGCGATGGGGGCTAAAGGCGACTTCGGGAGATCCGCGGACCGTTCCGGGTGCAGGGAGAGGCAGCGCGCTGCCTCGCATGAAGCTCGAAGCGACCGAGGGGTTTAGCGGCGCGAATCTTGGGCAACCCAGTGGGTTTGACTTGTCATGCAAATATTTGCCCTGCTCTGCAATGGCAGGATTTCATCGGGTCTGTGTATGGATACGTGGAGGGAATATATCTTCTGCGCACACAAGACCAAGTTAAAATGCACGCACATCACACGCACTCAGGGATCTCACTAACGCTATGTTTGTGAACGGCCATCTGCCGCAAAGGCGCGTAACAATCCAGTAATGGGGCGATCACAATACGTTACGAAAATCGCGTTGCGGTTGCGTTGCGTACCAGTGCGTCGCGTTTACGAAAGCGTTATCCCCTTTCACCAGTGCTTCTTCCTGCAGTTTTCCGCGGGGCTGCGAGAGGCCTCAGTCGGGGAAGCTAACACCCAAGTCACGTCCAGCGTCGTCGCATGTCAGCCTCGATGGACAGCTGTCGAGTGCCGTGACGTGCGCGCGTGTGTCCCGTGACGTGCGCGCGTGTGTCCCGTGACGCCTGCGCACACACTCGGACCGCGGCCCGATTTCCCTCGTCAAACCACAGAGCGCTGGTACGCATGACAGAGTTCTTTAGTGACTTCAGTATTAAACTTGACCTCGGAAGGATCCGAGGTAGCGCATATCCCGAAAGCACGTTACTCTGCGCTTATAGTGGGCGTACAGTGGTTCTTAAGTCGTTGCCAGCGTTCGCGATTTCCCGCAGGCTTGGCGAATTTTACGCGAACGACGGGCCACGCCGGAATGCTCTCTCTTGATCCAAAGCCTCTCGCTGCGTGCGTCCGTACAGGTCACGACCTCGCCCGTCCCCTGAGGCGTCTGGGCTGACCTTGCGTCCGCCGGCTGCCGGCGACGGGCGCCGTCAAGACACCGCCGCCGGCCACGCGGCTCACCCGCCTCCCGTCCTGTCGCCCTCCTCCCGCTCTGATCGCCGGTCCGTGCTGGAGGCACCGGCTCGGCCCCGCGAGGTGCCACGGGCCGCGGAGTGAGTTCTGAGCGGCGACGCCCCGCGGGCCACCGCGGCGCATGTCGGGAACGTGTCGAACGCTCGGATGTTCGTCGACGGCGTCACTGGCGCTTTGCAACGCACTCAGCTGCTGAGGCTATGTGGCGTCGCCTGCCTCCCCTCCTGCCAGGCAGGGCGGACACCGCCGGCAGTCGAGGTTCGGATGTTTGCCCGCACTACGTGCTGCTGCCCCTTTTTGTCCCCTTTGCTGGTGGCTGATACCCTTGTCAAGTTTAGCTTAGCAAGGTAAAGTAGCTGAGCAAGTAAGAACAGGAGTATGCATCTGCCCTCAACGCGTACCGTTATTAGTGTCCTGTGCCTGGCGCCAGTGCTACCCACGTCCTCTATCAGTGTCCTCTCTCCCCATCCTCTCCCCCCGTCCTCTCAATGGCGATTCCGAGCCTGCCATCCCGTGATCAAGAGATACAATAGGTGGATTTGTATGTGACACATTTCACAGCTATGACCCTTGGCGTACAGCAATCACTTGCGCCAGTTGGAAGGAAAACATCCAGGCAGGGCTGGACGCGAACCCACAACCTCTCGGCTGGTAATTCAGCGCGCTTCACCTGAAACGCGGCAATCGTGGTGCAGCGCTGTCCCCAAAAGTGGGAGCCAACGCGGGACGTCCCATCGCCACAGCTTTAGGGTTAAACTCGTCCCAAGAAACGGGTGAAAGATGTGATACACGATGAACCACGTATATTCGCTGCTGTGCAATACAACACGTCTCGTTTTAACGTGGCGCGGCCGTACTCATACGTCTACAAGCCGGCGTCGCCCTGCTCAGCCAGGAGACCGCGTCGGTTATGTGGGGGGGGGGGGGGGGGGAAGGGGGCGGGGCTGCCTCTCCCGTCGCCGCCAGCTGACGCGTCGCCGCATCAGACAGGCGGCATGACAGGCGGCATGACAGGCGGCATCTGCCGGGCCGGAGGAGGCTGCAGCTGGCGCTGCGGTGTTCTTTGGGGCGCTGCCCGGACTTGTGACCGTGAGTGGAGCGCAACCAATGCAAATCCCCCGAGGGGAGGCGATAGCTAGATTTTCCTCAGATATAGAGGTTTTGTTGCAGGGCAGGGTGTTTTTAACGAGCGTTTCCTGCTGATTTCCTGCTGATTTGGGCTTTATGTCGGGGTGGAGGAGACAAGCGCTGGGTGGGAGCTCGCATTCCCGAAAGAGACACAAGACATGCTCCGCTGCTGTTAGTTTTTGAACGCCTAGAATCGCTGATGTTTCTCGACGACGGTGCTCATATGGCAGCTCCTTTGATGATCGGAGGCAGTGGGGTGTGGAAACGCCGGTAACTTAACCATGGCTCGTAAGGCAAGGTTCGCATGCAATCCAATGTTATGACGACATTGTCCGTGTCGTCTGCTCATATGCTTGGGGTATAGTCTTGTACTGCTGAAGATAGGATCCTAAGGACAAGCCCTGTACCTGGGGTCGTATCATCAATAAGTGTTAATGAGTCACAGGTTTAGCTGCAGTTCCCTTCTAACAGCGTCCCTGGTCTCGCACCACATACCGAGCATGTTCAGCGCAGCTCATATGCCACACTTATGCACGCTCTTGCCAATTTTAGCGGCATTTCACACCACGGATGTCTTTGTTTTCCCAGACACATGTCATGGCATTACCACCGTCGCTGCCAGTCCCGAAACCAATGGCCGGCATTTCCACCCGGACATGTCGTGCACACGAACGGAGCGCCCCGAGTATGTCCTCCGCAATCCGTAACGGACATAACGGATAGAACGGCTCCACGTCGGAGCCGCTTGGCACCTGAGCCACTCATGCAGCGGTGGTGTGTTGTGTAAGCCTCGCTCCACCCCCATGGTTCAGCGCCCCATTCCTCTCGGTGAGCGCGCTTGATGGTGCCCCTGGCGTCCGCCCAGGCAAGTCACCGCCGCGTGCTGATGTGCGTCGCGTGCAGAAGGCGGCTGTGGCTTCGCGCGGTAGAGAGATGGGTAGGGCCCGTGGGCAGGCAGGCAGTTCCTTACAAAGCTTTGGAGGGATTGAATACTTAAGGTTTTTAATGGGATTTGACCTGCCAAAGAGGTTTTTGTTACTTCTGTTTGTTTTGCAATGTGCAGGAGATTCCAATTTTAACAAGCTTTTGACCAGAAAAGTAGACCAATGCTAAAAACCTTATCATATTTGCATTTGATCATCACCGTAACACTACTGACTAGGGTGTTACCGTAACACCATCAGCTGATGCCGCTCGTGTTCTTCTGTGCCAGTGTTAAGGCCAAAATATAGCATAATTATTACAGTGCAATCTGTTATGTTATTCATGCCTCTCCACAATACAACATTTCCGCAGGACCAACAAAATTTCAGTCATGAGCGTCGTTGTTCCCGACGAAATCACCATTTTTAGAATGATTCCCTTATAACTCAGAAACGGCTCGGTCATTACCGGTGGTATTGCCTCAGTTGAGGTCCGCTGGAATCACCGCAGGTCAGGCATAAATGCTCTGGGTGTGGCTACTGGCTGTGCCCATTTGACTGTGGACCAGTCATTACGGAGCCATTGCCAATGCTGTGGCTTCCCATGCCCTTTTACAGAATCTGGCACACGGGCTTCGAAAATGGCCGCTATCCGTGCAGTGAATGACGAACAGGTTCGATAAGTCGTTGCCGGTGCCATTCTTGAACCTAGCCCGGCATTCCGCGTCAGGAAAGGCTTTAACGAAAAGTTGTGTATGGATTGTAGGCATAAAGCGTTTTGGCGGGAGTTGCCTCTTAACGCCTAAATATTTCTGCAAAATGATCGCAGTAGCATGAACATGATGGGAAGCGTGCACCATGCAGTGCTACACGCATTGGCATGGGTGTGCTGCGAAGCGTGCACCACACAGTACTACACGCATTGGCACGAGTGTGATGGGAAACGTGCACCATACAGTGCTACACGAATTCACATGAGCGTGATGGGAAGTGTGCACTACACAGTGCTATATTTATCGTGTCATACGTGTATGTCATAGCAGTGCGGCTGAAGAAAAATCGCAAAAGCGGTCATCTTTGGTGGGTTTACTCACTGAAGTCTTCATTTAGTGGTGGGTGTCATCTGGCAGCATGATTTATAGACAGCGCTTCGGCGTGATGAATGATTGTACAGAAATCCATCGTTAGAAAATCATCCGTTACAGTGATCAAACACCGGCCAGTTGACCTATTACCGACAGGATCACAGCAATAACTTCTCAGATACATATGGAGCAGCTGTTTCTGCAGCGCACGTCCGTCGAGCCCTCCAAAACATAGTTCTCTCGACTAGGCAAGGCGTGATCTAGCAAGACCTCTCTCGATAGGGCATGGCCTGAGCACAGCGGCTCGTCAACGACTCAGGCCGCGGTCAGTGACAACTCAGGCCGCGGTCAGTGACAACTCAGGCCGCGGTCAGTGACGACTCAGGCCGCGGTCAGTAACAACTCAGGCCGCGGTCAGCGGCGACTCAGGCCGCGGTCA